ATAGCATCAACTCAAAGTCCAAAATCTCAGGACTTCCCTGGCAGTCCAGTGGTTAAGACTCCATCTTCCAATGCAGGGGGCACAGGTTCAATCCCTGGTTGGGGAGCTAAGATCCCACGTGCCATGCAGTACAGTTAAAAAAACAAACAAACAAAAAAAAAAAACTCCAAAATCTCACCCAACTCAAAAGTCCCAATCTTATCATCAAAAATCATCTAAATCAGGGATGGGTGAGATTGGGTATAATTTATCCTGAGGCAAAATTCCTCTCCATGCATGGACATGTGAAACTAAAAAACAAGTTCCCTGCTCTGAAAAACAAAGATGGGACTGCCATAGGATAACACATACAGACGTTCCTGTTCAAAAAGAGAAAATGGAAGGATAAAAAAGAGTTACTGTTCCCAAGCAATTCTGAAATCCAGCCAGGCAAACTGGAAGAGGTTTCAAGTCGTGGCAAAATTCACTATGGTTCTCAGCTCTACATTATGGGCCTCCGCCCTCCGAGCCATCCTTCCTTTTTATAAAGGGCAGCTTGTGTTTAAAGCTGAGGAGTCTTATCAGCCTGTCTCCTGCCCGTAGAATTTTGGGGCTCTGATAGCCTTCTTTCACTTCACCTCTCTGTTCCTTTCAGTCCAAGCTGGCAGTGTTTCTGCTGGTATAAGATTCTCACGAGCCTTGTGGGACTACCATATACGTACAGAGACTCCACTAGACAAGAGGCTCCTCCACAGATCTTGCCTAGATAATCCCATCTCTATTTTTGGCTTCTGCTTAGATGCTGAGGGAATCTATGAGTCACACCCTTCATCTCTCAGTGTTTTGTGTGAGTGAATACGCTGACCTTTAAATCTTTCTGAGGTTTCAGGAAAAGGCCGTAGAGTAACTCTGATTTTTTCTCTAGAGAAGGCTTTCCCAACACACATCTCTTGATTTTAGCATCCTTTGCCATTTTGGTAGGCTGACAATTTCCAAAATCAACAACTCCTGGTTTATTTTTGTTTTGTTTTTGAGATGTAATTGACATACAACATTATATTAGTTTCAGGTGTACAACATAACGATTTGGTATTTATCAAGATCTCCTGGTTCATGTTTAACAGGTCTCTCCTCAATTTATTACCCTACTCTCAAATTTTACTACAAGTTGCAAAAAGAAACCAAGCCACACCTCAACATTCTGCTTGGAAATCTCAGTTAAATATCCAAATTCATTGCTTACAAGCCCTGCTTTCCACCTAACTGCAGGATACAATGCCACTAAGCTTTCTGCCACAATATAACAAGGATCCCCTTCCCTCCAGTTTCTAATACCTTCCTCATTTTCTTCTGAGCCCTCACCAGCAACACCTTTAATGTCCATATTTCTATCAACAGTCTGTTCACAATGCTGTATGATAAATGTTTTCTCTATCCTGCTCCTCACTTCCAAGTCTAGCAGAGTCATTAACGCCCATATTTCTACCAGTTTGTTCAAGGCAGTGTAGGCTTTTTCTATCATGTTCCCCAAAACTCTTCCAGCACCTGCTCACTGCCCAATTACAAAGCCACTTCCACATATTTAGGTATTTGTTACAGCAGCACCCCACTTCCAGGTACCAAAGTCTCTATTAGGTTTTTTTTCTAGTTTTGAGATATAAGTGACATATAACATTGTGTAACTGTACGGTATACAATGTATTGATTTGATACACTTAAATACTGCAAAAATCTGTTAGTTTTCTATTGCTGCTGTAACAAATTACCACAGACTTAGAGGCTTAAGACAACATTCATTTATTTACCTTACAGTTCTGTAAGGTGAGGTCCAACACAGGTCTCACTGGGCTAAAATCAAGGTGTCAGCAGCATGGCATTCCTTTCTGGAGGCTGTAGGAGTAAATCCATTTCCTTGCCTTTTCCAGCTTCCAGACATCACCCATATTCCTTGGCTTATGGCTCCCTTCCACCATCTCCAAATCCAGCAACAACAGTGCATCCCTCTGAACCGGCTTCCATCATCACATCTCTTTACTGACCCTTTTCTTCTGCCTCCCTCTTCTACTTTTAAGGACCCTTATCCTTATATTGGGCCCACCTGGATAATCCAGGATACTCTCCTTATCTGCTGATTAGCAACTTTAATTCCCCTTTGCCATGTAATGTAACATATTCACAGGTTCTAGGAATTAGGACAGGGATATCTTGGGGGTGGAGGGGGCATTATTCTGCCTACTACATCTACTAATTACTTAAAAGGAACGAGAAGCAAACCATGATTCAAAGCGGCCTAACAGGACTCAGATGGAAGTATTAACAGCTAAACAAAGGAACGAAACACCCTCAATCAACAGTTGATTAATCTATTTTTAATTTTTCCAATATTTAGTGAATCTAGCAATCTAAGTGAAGATTTTTTTGTTTTGTATTTGTGCCACACACTGTTAGCTGACTAATCCGATACCCATTTTTAATCCCCTCCCTTCTCCCAAGCCTGCCCCTTGGGCTATAAAAGCTATATATTCACTTTCCTGGCCTCCTAAGGTTAGTCATAACACAGCTGTGCCAAATAAAATCTAAAAATTGCCTTGGAAAAAGCTTTTGCATACCTGATAAAAGGGGCAGACAGCGCTGGCTCTCTCTGGCCCCCTTCTCGGTACCCCTCCCACCTTGAATGGTGCACTGCCAGTAATTCAGGCATCTTATTTTGCAATAATGTGAGGACGTCCCAAAGAATTTAAGAGACACCAGCCCTGACACTATTGAACTACTGAACCAACACCAGCTACTCTGTGCTTATTTTGTTTGTTACTATTTAATTCTGGCTTTGTGTTATTTTCAGCTGAAAGCTTTACTAATATTATGAAACTACATTCAACACAACTGTTGGTTAAACGTAAGTACCCTCCTCCAAAACTTATTTTCTTGTACAAATACCAGATTCACTTGAATGAGTTATAATTAGTGACTATTAACTACAACTATATATTAATAACTGTTAGTAACTATTTTCTAAATAACATTTGTTATATATCTTAGGACTCTGAATTATACATACTCATTCTAGGACATTTGGAAATTATCAAAAGTTTAAAGAAAATAAATAGCCACAATTCCAAATGCCCAGAGATAACTTACTGGTAATATATCAGTGTATATCCAATCATATATTTTTATATACATACTTAGAATATTTTTAAAAGAGACTACAGGGAATACACAGACTTGAATCCAACTTTCATTTAGCACTTTATTGAAGACTTTTCCATATCATTAAAGATGTCTCAAAAATATATTCAAAAAATTAAAATATTTCATAATATGACTAAAACATGATTAATTAGATCATTTTTAACAATGTCAGACATTCAAGTTGTTTTTTCCTTTTTGCTAGTGTAAACAGTGTTGCAATAAGCATCATTGTATATAAATATTTCTCTGCTATCTCTGATTGTTTTCTGTGGATAATTCCATAGATGTGGAATTACTGGATCAAAGGGATAAACCCTTTCAAACATTCAACAAATGCTGCCACGCTGCTTTCTAAAAAGACTGAATCAATTTATTATTCTACCTCCTGTATACAAGAATATCAATATCCCTTACAAGTACTGACTGCCTTTTTTCTTTTTTGCCAATTTGACTGGCAAAATATTATAATTTTTCAAAATTTATAAAGAACTCATAAACTCAATAGCAAAAAAAACAAACAATCTGATTGAAAATGGGCAGATGTGAACAGACATTTTTCCAAAGACATACAGATGGCCAACAAGTACATGAGAAGATGCTCTACATCATTAATCATCAGGAAAATGTAAATCAAAATCACAATGAGCTATCACCTCACACCTGTTAGAATGGCTACTATCAAAAAGATAGAAGCAGCAAGTGTTGTTTAGGACATGAAGAAAAGGGAACCCTCTGCACTGTTGGTGGAAATGTAAATTGGTACAGCCACTATGGAAAACAGTATGGAGGTTCCTCAAAATATTAAAATAGAACTACCATGTGATCCAGCAATTCCATTTCTGGGTATTATCTGAAGAAAACATTAATTCAAAAAGATATATGCACTCCCATGTTCACTGCAGCATTATTTACATTAGCCAAGATATGGAAACAACCTAAGTGTCCATCGACAGATGAATGGATAAAGAAATTGGGGTACATATATGCATTGGAATATTATTTGGCCATTAAAGAATGAAATCTTGACATTTGTGACAACATGTACGGACCTTGAGAGCATTATACTAAGTGAAATAAGTCGGACAGAGAGAGACAAATACCATATGATCTCTTTTATATGTGGAATCTAAATAAATAAATAAATACATAAAACCAGGCTCATAGATACAGAGATACAGAGATCAGATTAGTGGTTTCCCAGAGGCAGGGACTGGGGGAGTGGGAGAAATGGGGGAGCTGTTTTGGGGTTTGTTTTTTTTTTAAGTTTAAATAAATTGAATTTAAAAAGCACAAAAAACAAAACAAAAAAATATTGTAACTCATTCTTGAATTTTTAATTACATTTTTTGTACTAGTGAGATGACTATTTAAAGATATTTAGATCCTTTATATTGATTATTTTATGAAGTATCACTTGGAGTTTTTTGAAGTATAAGAGTTCTTTATATATTATAGATGTTAGCCTTTTGATGTACTTGTTATATTTTTTCATAAATCAACTATACTCTAATATAAAATAAAATTTTTTAATAAATATTTTATTTCAATGTATCATTCACTTTTTAGTTTTGTTTATATATTTTTATGACATTTTAAAATGTAATCAAATCTATTAGTATTATCCTTTGTGACTTCTTTCTCAGCTTTATTAAACAGAGATGGTTTTCACATGACAACCACATTTTAGAAAAGAATGCTTTAAGACATTATGTTCTTTTCAATTCCTACTGGCTTTCTTACAGTCAAAAAGTAAAATTAACAGAAAGAGAACAACAAATACTCCACTAAATATGTAAGTATCACATCGTAGGTTTTAACTATTCACATACCTGCTTGTCACAATTATGACATCCTCAGAGATGGTAGCCATTTCTTTGATAGTAAGGTAGCACATTCTTCTCAATGTTTGCTGAAAAATTATTTATAAAAGGCAAAAGGTTATTCATAAGGAAATGGTTTTTTAAACTGTTTGAAGTGAGGACCCCAAGTAAATATATTTAGAAAGCTATTCTTAAAAAGATTCACGGGCTTCCCTGGTGGCGCAGAGGTTGAGAGTCTGCCTGCCGATGCAGGGGACACGGGTTCGTGCCCCAGTCCGGGAAGATCCCACATGCCACGGAGCAGCTAGGCCCGTGAGCCATGGCCGCTGAGCCTGCGCGTCCGGAGCCTGTGCTCCGCAACGGGAGAGGTCACAACAGTGAGAGGCCCGTGTACCGCAAAAAAAAAAGGCCTGGATGAGAAAATATTCAAAATTCTAGTATTTCCTAAACACAAGTAATTGATGCACTAACAGTAGAAGACACCTAGATGAAAATTCAAAAATTCAGTTAATTACATGGATCTTTATACAGAAGGACCCAAACTGTGACTGTGACAATGTGAGTCCAAAGACAGGTTTTTCAAAGTGCTAAAGGCTTGTCCTAGAAAATGTATTTTTTAAATTCTTTAAAAATATATACAGAGAGACATGCAGACTCTGTGTTTTCCTCAGTTCAGCATATTTTTTCTTAAGGTATTTGTGGTTGTACAACTACTATTTTCAATTATCAAGATTTCTAGATGGATACCTGGATCCAAAAGAAGTGTTAAACAAACTTTCGCCCACCCTTTCTCCTCACCTGGATCTCTGATTTTATTCATAAACACTCATACTCAATGCTCAAAGCCTTGGTTCCTCTAGCCTGTCTAGCCTCATTCTCTACCAAGTAACTTCATATTTCTTATAAGTAGTGAAACTCAAATACATCAGACCCAGCTCCAGAGTCCAAGCTGTACAAAGGATCTGTTGGAGACTACTGAGCCCATTAAGGAACAGGCAGAACAGAGTGAGGATTCTCATGGTGATTAAACACAGAAAAAAATCACCCCAGAATGAGAAAGGCAGCATGGGGGCAGATAATGAGGCATATCACATCCATATGAAGCTACTATGAGAAGAAAGCAAAAAAAATGACAATCAAAACTTCAGAGCAGAAGAAAATTTACACTCCCCCCCCAAGCAAAAATCTACCATGAAGCAGAATAAAACTGGAGATCCAAAAAAATTTAGCTAAAGCACAAAAAATGGAGGCTCAACACTGTTAGTCACTGGGGAAATACAAATTAAAACCACATTTCATATACCACCTCACACCCACCAAATTGTCTAAAATTAAAGAGTGACAATGTAGTGTTGACAAAGATGTGTTTTTAACAACTATGCTGCCTAAACAAATACACAGAAATGCTGAATAAAACAGGAACAAAAAAATTTTAATACACAGCCAAGGGAAAATGAAGGGAAATTCACAAGTGCCCAAAATGGAAAAACACACAACTCATAGCCACAGAAGTGTAAGCCCAGGGTCTTGCATAGGATAAAATATCTAAAGTCTACAAAAGATGGGATTCTAGAAGGTATATTCTTCAGGCACAGGGAAAATTATTCTAGATAATAACTCAGAAATACAGTAAGGAATGAAGAGTAAAAAAAAAAGAAAGCGGTAAACACTAACAAGACAGAATGGTATTGGCGTAAGAATGGACAAATTTATCAATGGACAGAAAAGACAACCCAGAAATACACCCACATACATACAGTAAACTGATCTTTGACAAAGGAGCAAAGGCAATACAATGGAGTAAAGATAGTCTCCTCAACAAATGGTGCCAGAACAACTGGATATCCGCATGCCAAAAAGATGAATCTAGACGCAGACCTTACACTCTTCACAAAAATTAACTCAAAATCGACCACAGACCTAACTGTAAAATGCAAAACTATAAAACTCCTAGAAGAAAACCTAGATGATGTTGAGTATGGTGATGACTTTTTAGATACAACGCCAAAGGCATCATCCATTAAAGAAATAATTGATAAGTCAGCCTTTATTACAATTAAAAACTTCTGCTCTGCAAAAGACAATGTCAAGAGGATGAGAAGATAACACAGACTGGGAAAAATATTTACAGAACACATAACTGAGAAAGGACTGTTATCCAAAATACACCCCAAAACCCCCCCAAGAACAGAAAAACCTCTTAAAAGTCAAAAATAAGAAAAACAACCTAATTTTAAAATGAGCCAAAGACCTTAACAGATACCTCACTTAAGAAGAAAAACAGAAGGCAAATAAGTATATGAGAAGATGCTCCTCATTATATGTCATCAGGGGAAGGCAAATTAAAACAGCAAGATAGGGCTTCCCTGGTGACACAGTGGTTGAGAGTCCGCCTGCCGATGCAGGGGACACGGGTTCGTGCCCTGGTCCGGGAAGATCCCACATGCCGTGGAGCGGCTACGCCCGTGAGCCATGGCCACTGAGCCTTGCGTCCAGAGCCTGTGCTCCGCAACGGGAGAGGCCACAACAGTGAGAGGCCCACGTACCGCAAAAAAAAAAAAAGAAGACAAATAATCTGAATAGCAGCATATCTATTTCCTTTTAAAGTAGTTAATTATCAAAAACCTTCCTACAATGAAGATGGTTTCAATAGTGAACTCCATCAAACATTTTAGGAAAAATTAATAATGATTCTAGAAAAACTCTTCCAGAGAGCAGAGGAGGAAGAACCACTTCTCAATTCATTTTATGAAGCCAACATTACCCAAATACAAAACCCAAGAAAAAACTATACATAAATATATTTCATGACCACAGACTCAAAATCCATAACAAATTTTAACAAACAGAAAACAAAGATTTTATATTTTCCAGGAAAATAAATGCATCTCACCATATTAATATACTAAAAAAGGAAAACCACAATAATTCAATGGATATAGCAAAGACATTTGACCAAATTCAATACCCATTTATGGAAAAAAAAAATCTCCCAGCAAACTAGGAACAGAAAGGAAATTCCTCAACCTGATAAAGGTCACTTATGAAAAACTTGGAGCCAGCATCACATTTAATGGTGAAAGATTAAATACCTTTCCTCTAAGATCAGGAAGAAAGCAAGGATGTCCTCTACCATCACTTCTATTCACACTATACAATAGTGCAAGAAGACAAAAAGGTAAGATAAACAAATAAAAAGCATACAGGGCTTCCCTGGTGGCACAGTGGTTGAGAGTCCGCCTGCCGCTGCAGGGGACACGGGTTCGTGCCCCGGTCCGGGAGGATCCCACATGCCACGGAGCGGCTGGGCCCGTGAGCCATGGTCGCTGAGCCTGCGTGTCCGGAGCCTGTGCTCCGCAACGGGAGAGGCCAAAACAGTGAGAGGCCCGCGTACCGGAAAAAAAAAAAAAAAGCATACAGACTGAAAAAAGTAAATCCTAAGGAATCTCCCAAAATACTCCTAGAAGTAATAAATAAATTTAACAAGATCACAGGAAACAGGTCAATATACAAAAATCAATTTAATCTCTATAGACTACCTACAAACAATACAAATGCAATAGTATAAAAAATGTTAACTGCTTCAGGGATAAAGTTCACAAAATATGTATAAGACTTTTATGCTGAAAGCTACAATACTGCTGACAGAAATTAGAGACCTGAATAAAGGGAAATATATACCATGTCTATGGAGTAGAAAACTCAATAATGTTATAATGTCAATTCTCCTCAAATTGATCTCTTTGTTTTAAATTTTCTTGTAGTTGAACATATTGATCTTTAGAGTCAATGCAATCACCATCAACATTCCAGCAGGCCTTTTTAATAGAAATGAACAGGTTGATTCTAAACTGCACAGAGGAATGCAAAGAACTTAGAAGAGCCAAAACAACTTTGAAAAGGAAAAAAATAATAATAAAATAGGAAAACATGCACGACCTGATTTAAAACTTACTATAAAGCTACAGTAATCAAGACAGTGTGATACTGGAATAAGAATAGATATATATATCAATGAAAATAATAGAATGTTCCAATGTGCCACTGTAACACAATCATCATTATTTCTTCCTCCTCCTCCTCCCTCCATATTGGTATGCAATTATTCCAGTAGAATTTGATGAGAAAAGAAAGGAGGAGGAAAAGGAGGGGGTGGTGGAGGAAGAGGAAGGAGACGAAAAGAAATTCAACCCTCACTTTATATCATGTACAAAAATTAACTCAAAATGATCATAAAGCAATTTAAGACACAAAAACTACAAAATGCCTAGGGAAAAAGCATAGGAGAAAATCTCTATGACCTTGGGTTAGGCAAAGATTTCTATAATACACATCAAAAACACAATCCATAACAGGAAAAAAAACCATGATAAACTGGACTTCATCAAAACTTAAAACTTCTGCTCTGTTAAAGACTAAGAAAGTGAAAAAACAAGACACAGACTAGGAGAAAATATTTGGGAAACATCTGATAAACAACTTCTATCCAGAATACATTAAGACCTTCAAAACTCAATAATAAGGAAATATACAACCAAATTATTAAAATTGGGCAAAAGATATGAACAGATCCTTCATCTTGGAAGATATATAGAAGGCAACAAAAGCACATAAAAAGATTTTGAGATTATTAGTCATTAGGAAAATGCAAATTAAAACTACAAAGAGATACTACTACATACGTATTAGAATGACTAAAATTAAAAAATAAACAAACAAACAAAAAACATATAATACCAAGTGCTGGCTAGAATGCAGAGCTACTAGAAGCTTCATACAGTAATGGGGGGAATGGTACTGTCACTTTGGAAAATGGGTTGGCAGTTTCTTACAAAGTTAAACATATATACACCTATCATATGACCCAGCAATTCCACTCCTAGGTATTTACCCAAGAGAAATAAAAACTTACATTTAAAAACTTATACATGAATGTTTATAGCAACATTATTCATAACCACCAAAAAATGGTAACAAACCAAATGCTCTTCAGCTAATGAACAAATAAACTGAGGTACATCCATACAACAAATTACTACAATGAAATAAAAAGGAGTAAACTGACACAAAAAATAACATGGACAAATAACAGATGAATTATGCTAAGTGCCTGAAAAGAAGACTCAAAAGGCTTCATATAGTATGATATCATTCTTATGACTTCCTGGAAAGGCAAAACTGTAAGGAAAGAAAAGAGATTACTGGTTCCCTGGGCCTGAGGATGCGAGGAATAGATCATATAGTAGGAAACTTTTTGGAGTGATGGAAATGTTCTAAATCTTGACTGCAGTGATGATAATACTACTGTATGCATTTGTCAAAACTCATAAAACTATACCCTAAAAAGCGTGAATTTTACCATTTGTATATTATACTTAAAAAAAAAAAAGAAAAAGAATGCAGTGGTGAGTGAATGAAAAGGCAAGCCACAGACTGGGATCTGGGAAGGAGAAAATATTTACAAAACACCTATCTGATGATGGTCTTGTATTCAGAAAATAAAAAGAACACCTACAACTCAATAAGCAGAAGATAAACAACCTGATTTTTTTTTAAAAAAAAAGGTAAAAGATTTCAACAGACACTTCACCAAAGAAGATAAACGGATGGCAAATAAGCATATGTTTGCTTAATACATGCTTAATACATTCATCATTCAGGAAATGCAAACCCAAGAATGCCACTTCTAGATACTAACCAAAGAAAATGAAAACATAGGTCCACACAAAGACTTGTACTTGAATATTTTTAGCAGCTTTGTTTATAATATCTGTAAACTGGAAACAACCCAAATATCCATTAACTTGTGAATGGATAAATAAAGACTACCTCCATACAGTGGAATACTACTCAGCAATAAAAATGAACAAACTACTGATACATACAAAAACTTGGATCAATCTCAAAAGCTAAGGGAAAGAAACAAGACATAAAAGTCATAAATGACTATATACTATATGATTAAATCTAAATGAAATTCTAGAAAATGCAAAACTATGTTGTCAGGAAGTAAATCAGTGATTGCCAGGTGCTAGGGGTTGAGGGAGGAGATAGACAACTAAGAAATATGGGGGCACATTCTGGGGTGATGAAAAGTTTCTATATCATGACTGTGGTGATTGTTCCATGACTCTATACACTGGTCAAAACACAACTGTACACTTAATTGGTGAATTTTATTGTATATTTAAGCTGATTTTTAAAATTAAAAAAACAAAGCAGATTTTTTAAAGGCTAAAATAAAGTTTTAAACCTATAAATCAATAGATGGAATATAAATAAGCAAAGAATATAAACAGACAATTCACAGAGGAGGAAAGTAAAATGGCCATTAACTATATGAAAAGAGTTTCAATTTCGGCAGTGATATGGCAATGCAAATTAAAACCACAAAGAGATGCCATATCACCTTCTTGTGAATGGCAAATATTTAGATCAGATAATAGAAATTATTATTTGGAGCAGGTAAGGATTTGGAAGCAAGCAGTGTAAATTAGTACAACCCTTTAAGATCAATTTGGCAAGATCGTATAAATAGCATTACCTAGAAATTCCACTTAGAGGTATCTACCCCAGAAAAATTCTCTATGTGCACAAGAAGACATGTACATAAACATTATGTGTGATGTCATTTGTAATAGCAAAAAAGCAGAAGCAACTTATAGATCTACCAATGGGAGAATGGATAAATAAATAAGAATACTGTATATTCACACACTGGGATTCCATACAGCAGTAAAACAGAATAAAGTAAAAGTACTTGTAGCAAGTGGGCAGATCTCAAAAACATTAATTTTTTAAATTGCAAAATAATATCAAGATGACATCATTCAGATTATATTTTAAAACACAAAAATACTAAGTATATATTATGGATACAAACAGGTATAATATATAAACATAGGAGGATACCAATCTCAAAATAATTATTACCCTCTGGTAAAGGAAGGCTGGGAAAGGAAGGAGTTCCACATGCCACTGGCAAAACCCCCTCATCTTCCCCACAAAAAATCATATCCTTAATTCCATACTCTGCCTAAGGGACCATCAAAACAAATCACATCATGCTGTACATGGTTACTAAACCTCAGTCACTACAAAAAAAAATAAAATATCCTGGTCATTACTCAATAACAGTACCCCTTTTGTATTTCATTTCCAAGCATTCACTCTCCAACCACCACTCCTGACTCAACTCTTTCGCTCCATCATGACCTACAAGCCATTGATTCCATCAACTCTTTACTGTCCCAATCAGCCCCCGTTCTTACTTGCCTCCTAACCAAGCACAGACTCCACAGTCAATATTTCAATCACTCAATTTCCTTGTTCCTCCCTCTGCTTACTAACATGGCAAAACCCCAATCTTGATTAAACCCCATCTTTAACTGTTCCATGCCTTAACCTGAAGCCTGTAGCTGGAGAAAAACATTCACCATGCTACCTGGGAATACTTTAATTCATGACCACTAACTTGAAGGGGCCATGCGTCCTGTCCAACAATCCTACATTTCCCCAATCCATTTCCTAGAAAACTACTTCATGTCTTCTTCTCTTAATACAACCTCTGTGCTAGAAGCTTCGAGTTTGTCCTCACGCTATTTCTTCCCTGCTCTGCATCCTCTTCCCTGCTCCATGTCCAGCTCTTCTTCCCAACTGCCAGCCCTGTGAGCAGCGACAGCCTCTGGCCTACCACAAGACACGTGAAGCAGCCTTCCACAACTTTTATGATAGTCCCTCTCCGTGACCCCACTCTCCAGCAGCTTGAAATGCCTCGTTTTCTAGTTTAATTCCTCTAATAAATAATTCAATAATGAACACAGCAATTCTGCTTCCCTGATTGAACCCCAAATTTTGGTACAGGAAGTGATTAAAGGGAAATAGGGCCTTAAGGATAGGAATCTGAAATTGCTTTTCTGACTTGATAAAAGGAATTAATGACCCTGTCTCCAGTGGTAAAGGGGACACTAGTCATCCATGGCATGCCGTGGCAAAATACTTAAATCATCACCTGCAGACAAATATAATCAAGGACTATAGAAGACAAAGGTTTGGGTAATCAACTAGTTGCTGCCATAGAACATTTTTGTAAAAATGAGTTGTATAATGGGCTAGTTCCTTCTAAGTACACTGGCAAACTAGGTAAAAGAAAATGCTAAGCTCGGAGTTTTGAATTCACAGCTTAAGGTCTATGTCAGGGACTAGAAAACGTCCATAATGCCTTAATAAAAAGCCTCATGCCATGTGGACACAGGGCTGAGATTTCTGAAAACTATATCCTGCAGGTGACTGAATTACAATGCAAATTCAATTTACCCCCTGTGAGCCATTTTATGTTAAAGTTAGGACCATGATTGGCAAGGAGAAGGGCCCTGAAAATCAGAATGGGGACATATGGGCAGATTCTGATGAAGTGAAGTACCTTGAACCTCTAAATTCCTCCAAGCCTCCTGGGCAAGCAGAAGCAGTCCTTCATACCCTGTCTGAGGAAATTAGGCTCCATTTGCCTGAAGAATGTGCACTGACTTTCCCTGAGATAGTTGCCTTACATGGGACACCGATGTTCCTGAGGACCTAATCCCCAAACTGCTCACTATCTAGACACATAACCAGACTCAAATCCTATAAAATCCTCGGGGTCAGGCACAAAATGTGGCCTGTGATGATATGCAATACATACCAAAAGAACTGCACAATTTGGCCAATTTATGTTAACAGAAAGCTGGGAAATACAGATCCCACAATCCCCTTCTCTGACGGTTCTGAGTCAGAGCTGGGCAAAAAGGAAATATGTGCCACATTTGGAAGACAGAAGTGAAGCACACATTATGCTTGAAAGTCAGGGTGGTCGAAGGTAATGAGAGACAGATGCAGAGGTGCTGGCAGCTTTAGTTTGTCCTCACTCTTCTTCTTCCCTACTCCATGTCCCTTCCCCACTCTGCATCCAGCTCGTCTTCTCATCTGCCAACAGCAACCCCAGGCCCACAAGAAACTTGACTAAGAACTTAGAGATGTGATAGCTATGTCCTCTGACTTCTATACCAGTCCACCTCCGCAGTGTCACGCCAGAAGCTGGATATTAGCGGTCTTTATGACTGCACGGTAGATCTGTGAGTGAACAGCTTTGAACTATATACTTTCATTCTTTCATTTTCATATGTCCTTTAATGAACATTTATAAATTTTATGAAGAGAAAATTTTTAAGTAATTTTAAACATTTCAAGCAACTTTCCCTAATTTGGAGCACTCTAAGTTCCCCCAAGGAAAACAGATAAAAGGAGCTTTTTTTAGCCTAAAAGAATTTAAAAAAAAAAGACTTACATCATTAGATTGAAACAATCGAGTCATTGCAAAGAAGGCTTCTGTGGCTTCCGTAGTTCCAAAGTGTTCACCCTAAGTAATTTAAATTAAGTTTAAATTAAAACAATTTCTTAAACTCAACAAAAATTAAGGATTTTCCATTTATTTCTGCAAAGATCTTTTAGAACTCAGGAAAAACTCTCTGTATAAACATTGTGCCTCTTTGCTATTTTTCTGGCTTTTAATTTATAAACCTACATAGCCATTTATCCATTCCTTATTTAAAACAATCCATTATCATACACCATGCTTTTATGAAAGTTCTAGAACAGTGGTATCTAACTTTTTAGCAGGAACTATTTTAAATTCCCTGAAGAATTGTGATTTACAAGGAGATAGAAAATGATAGTAAATTGACTTCCTTATCAGAACAGGATGTTATTGTTACACTGCCTAAGAGCAGAGATCATACCTTCTACATTTCTATAGTCCAATGCCTGACAATATCATAGGAGCATAATAAATATTAAACTGTAAAGAACTATCTATTAGGAATCCCAGAAAACATGGTAAAAAGGGACCAACCAAAAGGGCAGCAGGTTAGTTATATAAAAGTAAGGCTTATAGGGCTGCTAATACATCTCAAGACACTGGCTCAAGCCCCTAAAAACATGCTTTGGGTCAGAACTTCAACGTGCTTAACAAATCATCAGAGGATCTTCCCAAAATGCAGATTCTGATTCAGTGGCTCTGGTGTGAACCCTAAAATTTTCCATTTCTAATTGGCTCCCAGTGATGTGAATGCTGCTGATCTGGGAACCACATATTTTTGAGTAGTGAGGTGTTAGATAACCTATTGGGTTGGCCAAAAAGTTCGTTTGGGTTTTTCTATAAGATGCAACAGAAAAACCCAAACAAACTTTTTGGCCAACCCAATATTTTATTAATAGTCAAAACACTGCAGACCACAGACCACCTGAAACATTACCATTTCAATAGTTAACTTCTTCAGTAAAAACAATCCTATATAATATGTTAGGCTCAATCACTTTTCAGGGCTTCAGCTCTCATAAAAAATATAACTAGTCAATCTATTTGTCATAGGTGTAAGAATAAACAAATTTTGATGAAAAACCCTGAAAGTTTAGGATGAAAGACAAAGTATAAGAGTTTACAATTACTTAAGTCAGAGTACCCAGCTTGCTCATCATCAAGACATTTCCCTTACTTTCTTTCATATTTAGAGAACATACAGACACCCATCTACTTGTCAGTCATACTAGTACAGTAAATCCTAAGTCCCTACTTTTTGACTTGAAACTCAGAGAATATACGGATATGTCAACTCTAGTAGAAACTTAGAAGCATTTTTCCATAAAGCACTACCAAGAACTAGGCAAAAGATAAAGCTAAAGTTCCCAAATCTGTTCACCTAGTTGACTGTGTTTATCAGACTGTGTGGGTAACTTCCTTATCAAGATAATTATATGTTTCAACATGAGTTGCCCATCAAAGCAGTATTGGTCAATGTAAAAATACATGCTACTCTGAACCAACTTTAACTACTCAAAATTCTGCTTATAGACTGGAGTTCCCCAACTTGGACACAATATATGCTATGAAAAGTTAAATCAAACTGACTTTGCATTAAATGTTTCTAATATAATACCACATGAGAATATATGTTTGTGAATAGATATATTTTATTTAAAAGCATGTTCTTGTTGCTCTGCCTCCATTTGCAAGCTACAAAACTTCATGTCTCTGGTCTTCAGTCATGAAGTATAGTAAAGTAAAAATATTCTCATGGAATTCAGATTGGAAACCACAGTCTTCTAAGCACCATATGTAAACCACCTGAGGGGTGTGTGTGTGTGTGTGTGTGTGTGTGTGTGTGTGTGTGTGTGTGTG